AGTTCTTGGGCTCACGGGTCTGTTTCTACTTAGGAGGGTTCCAGCCTTTGCATCCCCTCCGCTCCAGGGTTACTACGGTTTACCGGAATCTCAGAACCCAGGAAGCCAAGGTTACTGGCTGCCAAGTCAGAGCAGGGCTTCCGAAGCAGAATCTTGGGGCAGTTAAAACTGCTTAGGAAACAGAGATAAAGCCCTGGCTAGTTTGGCTCAGTGGATGGATCCTTGTCCTGAGGACTGAAGGTCCCAGATCGATTTCGGTCTAGGACACATGCCCAGGTTGTGGGCTCCATCCCCCTTAGGGGGCGTGCAGGAGGCAGCCTATCAATAATTCTCTATTATCATTGATGTTTCTCTCCCTTTTCCTTCCTCTCTGAAATCAATAAAAACATTTTTTAAAAAAGAAAACGGAGATAAAGCTAAAGGATGGGTGAGACTTAATTGGTAAGGAGGGATAGAGAGGATGTAATCTGGAACCAAGGCAGATGATCTCTGATGAGAAGAGGGGTGACTTGTTTGACAGTGCATTTCTAAAAATAGGTTGGGGACTGAGTTGGTATAATTTTGAATGAAGGCAAAACTATTTGGATGTTGCCATGTAGATGCTGGTGATTGGGGATTGAAAGTGTGTTTGTCGTGTCCACAGTGTGTGTTGTGAAACTGGACCACCTTTGTCCTGATTTCCCCATATGTAAAATAGAGGTGTTGAACTGAAAATTTTCAAAGGTGCATTTCTGTTCTATGATTCTGCATCGCTGATTAGTTAGAATATAGACTGAGGAAAGCTTGAAGGCCTCAAATTGGGATATTGTGGATAGATGCTGCCCATTCCATTCCCCTTGGTTTGGGAGAATGGAGTGATATTTTATGTTTTACTTAAATTTTAGGTGTGTAACAACATAACAGGAGTAGTAGTATTGCTCTTGGCTGAATATGAATGGAACAATACATTTTGGACCTATTGGGACTTAATTATTCTCAAAAGCCTACGGTGACAGAGGTCACAACACAGAGACTGAGGGAAAGTTGCTAAGATTGCAAAAACCTTATGTGACTAAGTGGTTGCTGTGAGCACTTCACAAACCTGATCTCACCACTTTTCCAGTGGATCAGTCCCAGTTTTAGACACAGAAAAAGTGAAAGGAGGCGATGGGATTGTAAATTAAATGGAGATCTGTCTCAAGCCATAGTTTCTGCAGCAAAGAAACAAGTCAGGACAGATAAACTCTTAAAATGTGTTAGTAACCTGTATAAATTAATGTTTTAATGGAATTCATTAAGAACAGAAGCCATCCAGCCTGGGCACTGAGTCTGATAACCACATAGTTTCCTCAGAATGAGTCTCCCACTAGGACAGTGTTTAGGAAATAGAAGTCAAGATGTCTCAGATCACATTTCTTGGGTCTGTTCTTACTGTAGAGTCAGGATTATTTCCTAGCCTCTCTCAAAAATAACCAGCATTTGCTGGTTTCAGTGACCTAACAGGTATCCTGTGCCTCTGGTTCTCTTTCAGTGGGTTGTCTTCTGGCCTCAGAGTATTCCTTATCAGAGCCTCGGGCCCCTGGGCCCCTTCACTCGGTACTTGGTGGACCATCATCACGCCCTTCTGCGTAATGGGTAAGGAGGGCTGCGGAAGTGGGGTGCGGACACTGCCGTTCTAGTCCCACTGTGGACCTGGGAGGCCTGCAGTGGCCTGTAGATATCTGAGTGGTGTGAGTTCACAGTAAAACATTTTTTTTTTTTAAATAAAGGTTTTTGGGTTAGATTTCACCAGCAGATAACCATCACCTTAAACCTGGCTGACTTTTGTTCCAGGTACTGGCTTGCCTGGCTGATTCACGTGGGAGAGTCCATGTATGCCATGGTATTGTGCAAGTAAGTGTGTGTAATAGGTACTTGTTGCTTTGCGCTCGGTATCTAATTTGAGAGCAGCCACATTTAAATCATTCATGGGCTTGTAGACTGAGAGCATTCTCCGGATAGAGTTGAATCCCCACACCTAATGCTGGGCCTAGCCCAGAAGGAGTACTCAGTAAATATTTAATGAATGAATTTATTTTACTTGTGATAGCTCATCAGTTATTTCGTTGCTTAATGTAGATGATTTTTCTTATGTTTAAAAAAAATTTCTGTGTATGGTCCCCTGAAAAAAGAGCTTAGTCCCTGACCAGGGCTGATGATTCTCAATCCTAGTTTTACAACTGAGCCACCTGAGGAGCTTTCTCAAAGTACACAAGCCTGGTTTCCAGACCCACAAGGTCCTGGCCTGCTTGGCCTTGCTTCAGACATGGGAATGTGATTGCTACAAGCTCCACAAATCATTTTGGGATGCAATGCAAGCCAGAAGCCCCTTGATTAAACTCCACTCAGCAGATGCCAGTGTAGGTTAATACTGTGTGAAAGTATTAGAAAAGATTCTCTTTACATTTGTACTTCACGTAGCATATACGTGAAAGGCGGTGGAATGAAAAAGGTGTTGATGCCAAATTGCTATGCAGTTGATTTTTTTTTCTGGTCAAGATTAACCGTCACTTCTACCCTGTTTCCCCGAAAATAAGACAGTGTCTTATATTAATTTTTGCTCCCAAAGATGCAGTAGGTCTTATTTTCAGGCGATGTCTTATTTTTCCATGAAGAATACGGTACACATTTATTGTTAAATGAAAATAAAGGAAATTTATTACCTGTATACGGTACGGTAGTACGGTAGTTGTCAACACAAACCAGACAAATTGTGAATCCTACAGTATCAAGAATTTACTCATTTATTCAGTGACAATCATGTCATCATCTTCTGGAACATCATCATAACAATCCAATTCCTGAATTTCCTGTGACTCCTTTTCTTTCAGAATCAGTGGACCAAATCTCTCATGTTTAGCAATAGCATTCTGAGACAGAGCCTGGGGGGGGGCGCTTATTTTCGGGGGGATGCCTTATATTTCACTCAGAAGGAAACCTGTAAGGTCTTATTTTCGGAGGATGTCTTATTTTCGGGGAAACACGGTATTATTGCTGTACGAGAGACCTGATGCACGAAATTCCTGCAAGACTAGGCCTTCCTTCCCCAGCTGCCGGCACCAGCTTCCCTCTGGCACCTGGGACCTGGGCTTTCCTCACAGAGGGAGGCCCCATCCACCCACCTCAGCTCACCTATCGGTGGCCTGAGCCTCCCTCTTTGGGGCAGTTTGGAGGGCCCTCCCCCATCCCATTGATCACCCAACCAGCCTGTGGCCTGGGCTTCCTCTGCTGGGCAATCATGGGGCGATGATCAGGCCTCCAAACAATTGCATTGCACTCACTTTGGCTGGCCTGGCGCCAGTCGGTGTCATAGCACGGTCCTGGATGGTCGTCCAGAAGATTGTCTGGATGGTCGTTCCACTCTTCGGCCATCCAGTCTAATTAGCATATTACACTTTTATTATTGTAGATTATTTCTAAAAGTGGAAAATGTGATACTTTATTACTACGGTGTTTTAATAATAAAAATAATAATTCTTGAGTACACACTTGCTCTGAAGCCATCCCAGTGCTGTTTAACCTATCCAGTCATCAGAATCACGTGAGAAACAGTTCTGTGGTACAGCTAGGCAGTAGCCAGGCTGCTTCCCGGGAAAGCGTGTACCATCCTAACTGCACAAGGAAAGTGAAAATAAATGAACTAACCATTCGAGTTAAGAAGCTGGAAGAAAAGGCAAAATAAACCCAATGAAAGTAGATAGAAGAGTACAGTTAAAAAAAAATAGAAGATAATGACTCTGTGAAACCATAATATTAAAACTATTTTTTCTCTTAAGGTCTAAAGGCATCACGAATGGTCGGGCTCAGCTACTGTGGTTCCTGCAGACGTTCCTCTTTGGGATAGCCTCCCTCTCCATCCTGATTGCTTACCGACCAAAACACCAAAAGCGCACTTAAAGGAGATCTCCAAGCCTCTCCCTGCACTGACATCCAGCCTCGCTTTTATCTGGGGGCGGTGTGTTTACTCCCCTTTCTGGAAAGTTACGACCTTCTGGTATTCATTATTTCATATTCTCTAGTTGGGTTTGAGTAGATAACAGGAAAACGTTTAACTTTCCAATTCTGCAGTCTAACCTATTGAGCAGAGTCCTTCTAGCTACCTTCTCGAAGGCCTAGGCTGTGTTGGTGCTCTCTCCCGCCATCTGGTGTAAGCCACGTACTAAATTTGCTGGTTGGTATACCTGTGCTCCCATCCTTTGACTAAAACACCTTACCCATACCATCTCCATCTTAGCTGATGAGGGGTTGCTTTTTGGTGAGGTAAGATATTTCAGAGCTAATCGATGGAAATCCAACTCCGATTTTGTAAAAGCAGGGTCCTCGCCAAGGGAAATAATGACAGTAGCATTAATGGTGCCAGGAACAATATGGTGCATTATTGAATGAAATGGACTAAGGAATAAAATGCTGTGAATTGTCTCTCCATTCAAATGCTGTATCTATATGTCAATTTTGATATGTTGTCACACCTTTCATCCTACCTTTTCTCAAATAGACTATTATAGGACTGTCTGTCCAGCTCAGATAGCAGGGTATTTTTCCCACAGAGAAATACAGGAAGCCCTGGTTGTGGTTCGTGTCCTGCTTGTTATGTTTAGAGAGCTGCCCACAGCCCACTTGATTTCACACACACTGAGCCACAGGCTGGCATGAGAGTCTCCTTTTATTGCAGGATTACTCTCTGGTTTCCATTAACACTTAATTTAGCTTATGATACAATCTACACAGAAGTGAGAGGAGTATTCTGACTTTTTTGTTGTTGTTATTGACAGTATTGCAGATGTCTCCCATTTTCTCCCTTTTTGCCCCCTTCACCACCCTCCACCCCATACTATAGCCTATGCCCATGGGTTATGTATCTACCCTGTTTCCCCGAAAATAAGACAGTGTCTTATATTAATTTTTTTCTCCCAAAGTTGCGTTAGGTCTTATTTTCAGGGGATGTCTTATCTTTCCATGTGCTAGGTCTTATTTTCGGAGGATGTCTTATTTTTGGGGAAACACAGTATGTTCTTTGGTTAATCTCTTCCTCTCCCCTCCCACTGCCCCCACCCCTGAGATCTGATATTCTGTTCCATTCATCCAAACCTCTGACTAGTCTGAGTTTTTAAATGCCAAAAGTATAAAATCCTGCCATCTTATTTGGGGCATTATCATGCCTTGTAGCACAAAATGATCTTAGTGGACAAATGGTGCCGGTCCTTCCTTTTACAGACCCATGGATGCATCCCATCCAGGTGAGGTAGCCATCGCACAGAGGGGCCAGCCTCTCACTGGGCCTTGTGTTTCTCTCCTTCCCAAACCACAGTGGTGTCATTGCTTTTGAACTATTCAATGGACAGCAGGTACTTAGAAGTAAGTGTGTGAAGCAAAAAATAAACAAACATGGGGACATCTTGGCTTTGAATGGCGGTCATAGTGGTGATACAGAGAAAAATCTTTATGATGAGTTTGGATGAGAAAAGGCTAGAGGCATTTTGGTGAAAGTAGCAGGATAGTAAGAAGCCAGGCAAATTCCTTGACAGGAATAAAGAAACAGGTGAAATAATTAAACAAGGCCAAACAATTTGAGCAATTTACAGCCAGCTAATGAGTCACAAGGTTTTATCTCCCCTAACCAAGGATACTTAGAAGCAAATGGTTGACACATTCCAGACCATCCTGGTCCTGACCCCTCTTTTAATTCTTTAAAAATAAAGCTAACCAGCCGAAGTCGTTTTGGCTCTGGATAGAGCGTCAGCCTGCGGGATGAAAGGTCCCTTGTTCGATTCCGGTCAAGGGCATGTACCTTGGTTGTGGGCACATCGCCAGTGGGGGTTGTGCAGGAGGCAGCTGATCCGATGATTCTCTCTCATCGATGTTTCTAACTCCCTATCCCTCTCTCTTCCTCTCTGTAAAAAAAACAATAAAATATATTTTAAAAATATAAATAAATAAATAAATAAATAAAGCTAACCAGTCCAATGGTTGAACATTGACCTATGAACTAGAAGGTCACAGTTCAATTCCTGATTGGTTTTTAGCTCAATCCCCGGTGTGGGGCATGCAGGAGGCAGCAAATCAATGATTCATCATTGATGTTTCTCTTTCCTTTTCTCTCTGAAATCAATAAAAATATATTAAAAATAAGAACCTCAAGCGGCTAAAGCTGCCCAAGCCTGGCATCTCTCCTGCCTCTTCTCCAACCTTGAAAAAGTTACCAAGGACACTAGGCGATGAAATAACTCACTTTGAGCCCACTAAAGAAATGCAGAAATCACTAAGAGTCCAAATAGATAATTTAATATCTTAATGTTATTAGCATAAAACATGCTTGTTTTGACTGGGTTTACAGAAAAAGTTCATGTTATCTGTCATATGCCTTAAAAATTTAAGTGTATTTGCCAATGCAAAACCAAAAATCCTGTTTTTAAGAGTTATGAAATATATTAGTAAATTTTGCAATCTGAAAATACTAATTACTTTTTGTTGTCACTAAAAATTAAGAATTAATTTTAATTCTAAGAATTAAGTATTCTAATTAAGTTAGAAAAAACTATGGCTTTGATAATTAAAAGTGTAAGTTATGGCAATATATTTGTAAGGAAATAGTGAAAAGATAGTTATATCTAACTCCAACTAAAAGGAACTAGGAAAGTCGCAGAAGGATTGTGTACATCACAGAACCATTCCAGACTATCTCAGGCCAGACAGGCCTTGGTTTTAGTCCTTGCTTAATGACATTCTTGAATTTTTTTTTTTTTTTTAAGAGGAAAGAGAAGCAAAGAGAGACATTGAAGTAAGAGAGAAACATAGACTGCCTCCCAGACACTCCCCTAGCAGGGATCGAACACACAACCTGGATTTGAGCCCTGACTGGGAATCGAACCCTCCACCTTTTGGTGTACAAGATGGTGCTCCAACCAGCTGAGTCACACTGGCCAGGGCATGACATTCTTTAAAAATAAAACTAACCAGCCTCAGTAGTTCGGCTCAGTGGATGGAGCTTCTGTCTGTGGACTGAAGGGTCCTGGGTTCAATTACAGTCAAGGGCACAGTCCGGGTGGTGGGCTTGATCCCTAGTGAGGGGTGGGGGTGTGCAGGAGGCAACCAGTCAATGATTCTCATCATTGATGTTTTAATCTCTACTTCCCCCTTCCTCTCTGAAATCAATAAAAATATATATTTTAAAAATTGTAATAAAAGTAACCAGAAAATAATCCCTGAAAATAATCTATGCACACATTTTGATAAAGTAGCATATTAAAGGACACACTTAAAAGCTAATTATTCTGTTAAGACCCTCCCCTGAGACCTCTCCTAGGATTCCCATTAGCCAACAAAAGAAAGCCCTCAAGACAAGGACCCACAGCAGGCTCTCACTAGGGCACACCCACACCTTGTATATCTGCTGTATTTCTTCTAAATTCTACGGGTCCCCATGAGACTTACAACCAGGGGATTAGTGGGCAGCAGCAGCTCGTCCCGGGCTTACACCCTGAACCTGTCTTCAAGGCCCCCATTTTCTCTGATTCTCTCCTGTTGCTTCTAAAACCTTTCTTTGTTGCATTCTAATAAACATACTCTCAAAATCACCTGGACTATTTTTGTGAAGTCTTTCCTACACCAAGTCAAGAACCCACACACTACCAGCAGGCCCAAGGCAGACCCTCTCTGGGCCCAGACCTTGTCCGGAATCAGAAGTAACTGTGGAGGCCAAACTAAACTGTTTTCTTACCCACTTCCTCCTCCCACCCCAAAATAATTGTCAAGAACTGGTATAATTTGGAAGAACAAGAAAGGATCACTAGAAAAAAAACACCAAAAAAACTCCCACAAAACTAATGACCTCACAACTTAAACAGCAACAGGCCAGATTTATAAACTAATACTATTTCCTACACTCACCAAGTTTATTACTTGGCAATCCAAGTCTAAATGTGTTTTATGTCATGGTTTTAAAATGTGTCTTGGGTTTAAGAGGTTATGTTCCTATTTTAAAGGTTATATATTCTGCTAAAAAAAAGTCTTTAGCAAAACACCTTGCCGTCTGAGAGCCTGTGTGTGTTTACATGGAAAGTCTGAAATCACAGACGTTATATCACCCACCATTGAGGTCAGAGTACAGAGAGCAATCATATTTTTATCTTTGCCCCAGCCCTTCCTGGGGCCTCCTTAATTAGTTATTTAGATACTCAAATTTGGCCAGTGGGAGCCCCTTCAAAGTGATTCTGTGTCCTTTTGAAATGCCTTCATCAGTTTTTGAGTATTTTCAACGAGTTGTCATTTTCCTGCCCTGGACCTAGAATCAGCCATTTCCCCAAGCAGTTTGGCTTCCTTTTACTGGAGAAAAGTATTTTAAAACAACATCTGTGTGTCCCTTGTTGTCAATGGTGTCATTGCTTAAATATTCAATGCACAGAGCTGAGGATGCACTTTTTTTTTTTTTTTTAAATCATGAATTGACTAGAGGCCCAGTGCATGAAATTCCTGCATGGGTGGGGACGGTTCCTATGCCTGGCTGGCGATCAGGGCCGATCAGGGTCTTCTGGCTGCCGGCCAGGGCCTTCCTTCTTTCCAAGCCACCCCCTGGTGGTCAGCACACATCATAGTGAGAAACACCCAGTCGAACTCCCAAGGGGGCAATTTGCATATTAGGTTTATATATATACTGTGTTTCCCCGAAAATAAGACCTACTTACAGGTTTCCTTCTGAGTGAAATATAAGGCATCCCCCCGAAAATAAGGCCCCCCTAGGCTAAACATGAGAGATTTGGCCCACTGTTTCTGAAAAAAATGGAGTCACAAGAAATTCACCAGGAAATTTAGGAATTGGATTGTTATGATGATGTTCCAGAAGATGATGACATGACTGTCATTGAATAAATGAGTAAATTCTTGATACTGTAGAATTCACAGTTTGGTTTGTGTTGACAACTACCGTACTACCGTACCGTATACAGGTAATAAATTTCCTTTATTTTCATTTAACAATAAATGTGTACCGTATTCTTCTTCATGGAAAAATAAGACAATCCCCTGAAAATAAGACCTAGCGCATCTTTGGGAGCAAAAATTAATATAAGACACTGTCTTATTTTCGGGGAAACGGGTAGATACTGACACCTTGTAATTCCAATTCTTCCCACAAGAGAGCATTCTTCCTCTCCTGTGTCTCCTCCCAAGGGAGAGCTGTAGTTGGAACAATGTCAGTGTATCACTCAATCCTACAGCAAGCACAGAATAGCTTTTGAATATCTCAGTTTGCCAGCCAATATTACTATGATCTATACAAACTTTCTTTGAAGTTCTTTCAGTTTTTACAATATATGTCATAGGAGTTATAGTTTTTCCCCCCTTCTTTTTGTGAATATGCTATTCATTGGTATTAGGTTTTAAGTTCGTTTGCTAATTTGTATTCAATTTTAGAGTTTTCTTTTCCCTCCATCCTTGATAATTTTCTCTTATATCATTTAACATGGTTCTTACACCCATCAACAAGGTTCAAAAGACAGCACTATATCAAAAGACATCAGAGAAGTCTATTCCATCCTCTGTCCTTTCAGCTCATTCACACCCACTGCCTACAGGCAACCGTACTTTAAAATCTCCTGCTAACCCGGAAAACCCTCTCCAAATGTAGAAAAGAAAGAACAGTTTTATTATTGAATAAGCATAAACCAGACTATGATATATGTCACAGGCAAAATGTTTGCTAATGAGATTGCAAAGGCAGAAAGAAATATCACCCTGTAAATGGCCAAGCAGATACCAACCATTACATACATGTTCTCAAGATAAATGGTAGAGCCCTGGCTGGTGTGGCTTCATTGACTGAATGTTGCCCTGTGCACCAAGAGGTCACTGGTTCAGTTCCTAGTCAGGGCACATGCCTGGTTGTGGGCTTGATCCCCAGTATGGAGTGTGCAAGAGGCAGTCAATCAATGTTTCTTATTAATGTTTTGCTTTCCCTTTCTCTAAAAGCAATACAAATATATTCTTAAAAGAAAAAAAGATAAATGGTAGCTAGTCCTCCTGTAGTGTACTTGGCAAGATCATTTTCTGTACATTCTTTCACAGTTGCTCCTAAACTCCCCTGGTAATTGAGTGTCATCTGTATTATTTGCTTCCATCTTTTTGTAGTTAGAGCTTCAAGCAAAGCTAAACTCCCACTAGAGAGCTATCTTCCTTGGTATTTACATCTCAAGGAAAACATTCCTGGGTGTTAAGAGATTTATTTAGCTTTTATATGTTTTTCATGCATATCAAAGCGACAGGGAAAGGACTTATAAGCATGGTTTCTTCCATTTCATGCAGGTCGCTGCAAAAGATAAGAATTCCTTTTTTTATGGCAGCATAGTATTCCATTATGCTGAGTGAAATAAGTCAGTCAATGAAAGAAAAATACCACATGATCTCACTCATTTATGGATAATAAGGAACATTATAAACTGATGAACAAAAAGATAGATACAGAGACAGTAAAAGAAACAGACTGTAAAATTACAGCTGGGAGGGTAGGGAGATATGGGGGAGATAAGAGATCAACTGAAGGACTTG